ATACTGATATTGGTAAAATTTCTTCCCACCTGCAATAACTCAAATTCAAACAAAACAGACCCAAATGAAATAACGGAATGGGAGGATGAATGTGATTAATCTCCAGAGAGACTCAAATCTAAGATTCTCTCGTCTAGAGTTTAAAAATATATCTTATTTATTTATGATTTACTGAAGATTATATTTAATATATTGGGTCTCTAACAATATTATGAAAAATAGACATTTTATGAAGTATTTATTGCCAATTGAGATTCATTACATTTGATAAGTCATAAATAATACGTTTAAACATCATGTTTACTCCTGGAAATCAACTCCATTCTCAGCTCTTTTCTCAGTGGAGGAAAAAGAAATCTATCCATCTGTTCTCTGTGATAGGCAACTTAGCCACCTCTGATTTTATTTTCACTTTGTACAGTTTCACCTTTGGAGCTCTCTATACTCATTGTCGTTAAGTTGTGAAAAACTTATAACTGATCCTCTAGTTGGTTTTCAGAGGCTCTTCACAAATTTCAAAGGAGGAGATTGCCCATGCTTCACTTCTGTAACTGCAGGTGAATTGAAGCCTCCACAGGCATACGACTACCTTTGGGTTAGAAGCATGACTTCCTGCAGATCATGCCAGTAGAGATCTCTTCTGTACTACTATCTACCCTAATAGCTAATGCAGTTCTCACACTGATGAATAATGCTTCACTATATCCCAAAGGTTTTTATATGTTGCACTTTCACTGAAATGTAATACAGTAAATTTATTTTTAAAATTACTTTTATAATTTAGTTTTTATTTCTTTTATTACACAAGTAGTAACTTGTGGCCCAGTAGTAAGGAGTTATAATGACAACCCAAAGGAAAATGGTTCGATTCCCCTAGCTTCTTTGCAGGAGAGAGATGTACAGTCTATTCTCACGCAATTTGCAGTCTCTCAGGAACAGGTTTGAGGCTTTGAACACTAATGAGCGAAGGCCAGATGAGTTGTGGGAGGATATCAAGGGTATCATCCAGGAAGAGTGCAAACAGTCATTGCAAAGACAGAAGAGAAAGCAAAGACCAAAATGGATGTCAGAAGAGACTGAAAATTGCACTGGAGTGCAGAGAAGCCAAAGCACAAGGAAGAATTCAAGATACTAAAGAGTTGAATAGAAGATTTCAAAAGGCAGCATGGGATGACAAAGCAAAATATTACAATGAAATGTGCAAGGAGTTGGAGTCAGAAAATCAAAAGGGCCGAACTCGCTCAGCATATCTTAAACTCAAGGAAATGGAGAACAAATTCAAACCTCGAGTTGCTATAATAAAGGATGCCTTTGGCAGAATGTTAAATGATCCCAGAAGTATTAAAAGAAGATAGAAAGAATACACTGAGTCACTGTATCGAAAGGAATTGGCAGACACAGAAGAATTTCATGAAACAATATATGAGCAAGAGCCAATGGTGATGAAGGAGGAAGTTCAGGCTGCTTTGAAGGAAATGGCAAAAAATAAGGCTCCAGGAATAGACAGTATACCAATAGACATATTTCAGTTAACAGATGCTGCCATGGACGTGCTCACCAAGTTGTGCCAATAAATCTGGAGAACAACCACTTGGCCAACTGACTGGAAGAGATCGATATTTGTTCCTATCCCAAAGAAAGGTGACCCAACAGAATGTGGAAACTACAGAGATGTGGAACAATCTCACTGATTTCACATGCACGCAAGATTTTACTGAAGGTTACCCAAAAATGACTGGAACAGCACATCAAAAGAGAACTACCAGAAGTCCAAGCTGGGTTTAGAAGGGGTTGTGGTACTAGAGATATTGTAGCTGATGTTAGATGGATCTTGGCTGAAAGCAGGGAATACCAGAGGAATGTCTATCTGTGTTTCATTGACTATGCAATGGCATTTGACCGTGTAGATCATAGCAAACTATGGCTGACGCTGAGAAGAATGGGAATCCCAGAACACTTGATCGTTCTAATGCGAAACCTATACTTGGACCCAGAGCAAGGGAACACTGCATGGTTCAAAATTGGGAAGGGCGTATGCCAGGGATGCATCCTATCTCCATACCTGTTCAACCTATATGCAGAACAGATTATCCGGGAGGCTTGGCTCTATGAGGAGAAATGTGGGGTCAAGATTGGTGTACGATTTACCAACAATATGCATTATGCAGGTGACACAACCCTGCTTGCTGAAACTGAAGAGGACCTGAAGCACCTGTTGCAGAGGGTCAAGGACTGTAGCCTCCAATATGGATTGAGGCTCAATGTCAGGAAGACAAAGATTCTCACCACTGGACCAATTGGCAGCATCAGGATGGATGGTGAAGAGATTGAGATTGTACACAGCTTTAGTTTGCTTGGCTCCACAGTCAACAGTCTTGGCACCAGCAGCCAGGAAATTAAAAGGCGCATTGCCATGGGAAAGTCTGCTGTTAGAAACCTCTCCAAAGTACTGAAGAGCAATAGTATCTCTCTGGAGACTAAGGTGTGTCTGATACGGGCCATGGTCTTCGCAATCACTTGTTATGCATCAGAGAGTTGGACAATGACCAAAGAGGATAGAAGGAGAATTGATGCCTTTGAGCTGTGGTGCTGGAGAAGAGTATTGAGAATACCGTGGACTGCTAGGAAAACAAACAGATTTGTCCTGGAAAGAAACCAGGTGGCTCCTTGGAGGCAAGGATTCTGACATGTTGTGAGGAGAGACCGGTCCTTGGAGAAGGACATCATGCTTGGGAGGGTGGAGGGATAGCACAGGAGGGGATTGATTCAGTGACTGGGATAATCAGGGTGGGAGTGTCAGAGACAGTGCAATTGGCAAAGGACAGAGCAGAGTTTAGGGCTGTTGTACATAGGGTCGCTATGAGTCGCAAGCGACTCGATGGCACATAACAACAACAAACAACATACGCCCATTGGTATATCAGCTATGACACACCAGGCACTTAACCTCAACTACATTACCTAGTAATTTTAAACGAGGATAATTTTTAGTTTTGAGGAATCTCTGGTGACCTAGTGGCAAGAAGCTGGGCTGCAATCCTGAAGGCAAGAGGTTTGGCTCCATCAGCTGTTCCACAGGAGATGAGTGGGTAAACTCCTCTTGTGCAATTAGTTGCCTCTGAATACCCACTGGAGAATCACCTATAGGTAGGTTCTGACTCAGTGGTACACAACAACAAAAACAATTTTAGTTTCCATAAGTTTTTGTTGCTAGGTGCCTTTGAATTGATTACATGTCATACCCACCCTATGAGCCTAGCCCTTTCATTCAGATCTCCATCATGCTCAATCCTAGTGTGGCAGTTACTGAATTAATCCATCTTGTTAGGGATCCTCCTTTCTCAAACTCTCTCCCTTTCCCAGCGTGCCTTTTTTCAAGTACTAGCCCCTCTCGAATATATGCCAAAAATATGTGGGATTAGGTTCCACCATGATTGCCTTTACGGAGCATTCTGGTTGCACCTTCTTCAAGACAGATTTATTTGTACTTTTGACAGGCCATTGGCTATTCAGTAATCTCCAACACAACAAGTCAATAGCATTGATTCTTCTTCTGTGATCCGTATTCATTGTCTAACTTTTAGATGCATAGGAAACAATTGAAAATACCATGAGGTACATCTTTAAACTGAGATCATTGCTTCTTATCACTTTGGCACACCTTAATCCCTACACTGACATCATTGCTCTTTAGCACTTTGTCTTTAAACTGGTTTCATTGTTCTTTATCATTTAGGAGAAGTTTTTGACAGATTTTTCCAATGCAACACATGTTTTAAGTTATTGACGCTGTTACCATGAATGTTGATTGTGGATCTAGACAAAATTAAATCAGTGACAACTTTAATCTTTTTTGAAGTCTATCATGATGTTGCCTATTGGTCTAGTGAGAAAGACTTTTGGGTTTTTTGATGTCGAGATGATCAATCTGATTCTCACGCATTCTATCTCATGAAGTCCCTGTGTAAAGCCACCATGTGTGGTGTTTTTTTCCCCCCAAGTATTTGCAATAAAGTCATTGAAATGTGCAAAATTAGATCATCCTATTTCCAGCTTCATTTCTGTCATCAAGTCCATATTTTCCCTTCTTTCTTCATTGTTTCCAACTTTTGCATTCTGATCACCAATTATAATTAACACTTCTTGACTGCACGTATGATCAATTTCA